GAATGATTCAGCTTTTGTCATTAACGGAAGTTTACAATCGATACATGTCCCGTGCGCATGTCCGTTAGGAAGTACCTGCACAAATAATGATGACGTTTACCGCATGCATGATGTTTTTCGGTAATCTATTTTTAGTTACTATTTATAGCGCAAATACGATAGGCTTGACTAGTCACGTGGTTGTATTGGGGTTTCCCAAGTTTAAATTTCACAGCTCACTGCACCGGCAAAATAATAAATGGACAAGTTGCTGATGTTGCCCTTAGAGAGTATGACCCAAAACCTGCTGTGACAAGATGGTGGTTGTCGGGACAAAGACAGAAAAGACCAAATACTCTACTATATGGAGCAAGAAACTAAGATGCAGTTTTTATGCTTTATCTTAGAATAGCCTGAGCAGGCCAGCATCCTTTCACAGCAAGGTTTGGGTCATGTATACATCCCAATGACCATATTTTAAAATGTCAGTTAATACTGTTGTTTTAGAATTTAATTCTAAGTTAACATGTCTAATAAAGTTGGAAAAATGCAAAGTGCAAGTTGTTTTCTCATTTAGCAAGTAAGAAAAAATACCACTTGCGAAAAAATGCAAGTAGAAAATCTGGTTAAATTCGAACCCTGCATTTACATAGAAATCAATGTAGCAGCCTAAGGGTTGATGACGAACTATAAAGTACTGTGCTATAAATTGCTGTTGATCATAAAACAAGGCTTTACCTGTTGCTTTACACTCCTTGCACGTCAAAAGTCCCTCAGAAAAGGAAGCACTGCTTGTAGCCTTCAAACAGTAGTCACAAATAGATGCTTCTTCATCATCCGAGCTGTTTTTCTTCTTATGAGACTGTGTTTCAAAGTCTGGTCCATGGGTCTTCCTAAACTTCTGAAAAATGAAAATTTGCAAAATTTCTTATTATATCTCATTTTGAAACACCTACTTTAAATTAAGATTCACATACTTTAATGGTCCCAATATCATCATACTTCAATAACTCCAGGAGTGTCTGTGAGTATTGTACGTGTCGAAGATATTGAAACTACATACAGTATGATACTGTTCAAGGAACTATTTTTTTCAGTAAAAAAAAGGACATATTTGTTTTTGTTTGAAACTCTTCAGTAGACAAACAAACACTAACTGGTAAGGATGAAAAAGAAAGACTGTGTAAAATGATTTTTTTTGTAGTTGAACTGCACTGGGTCGATATTTGTCAGTGACAAGTAGCTCAACTGGTAGAGCATCTGTCTAGAGTTTGGATGATCCCGGGTTCGAACCCCGGTCTTGCCATTTCCTTTCTCTTCCTCCTGTTACCTTTCCATTTTGTTCAGCTTATTGGGGATAACTACTGTTGAACTTTGGTTAATTTTACAAACTCTTCTTTGTTGAATATTCAATCAACTAACTAATTGAGTTGTTATTCAAAAGAGAAAATCAATCCTAAATTATATTAACTTATGCCTAATTAGCATAACATAATTGAAACAATTAATTAGCCTAGCTCCATCTTTTTATTTGGTAATTAAAAAAAGATGTCCTACTTAGGCAAGAATCAGTTGAACATAACTTTTTTCCCAGAGGATAACAAAGCCACTTTAACTAGTTACAGATCTAGTTATACACAAGATGATGCTGAAGTGCAATGTTATGGTACTATTACAAACATTACTGTACTTAAAATCGTTTTACAATGAATTGATAATAATTAAACATAAATGAAGTGTATCAATTTAGAAATAAACACATTAATTATAAAGATACATTCACAACCTTGCGCTTTGACGGAGGACGTCCGCGTTTGAATTTCGGACTTGTTACTGTAGTCGCCGCCGCCTCTGTTTTCTCCGGTTTGTCGGGCTTGCTGGACGTGGCTGTCGCAACTCGGCCCGTCGCAACTTGCTGCTTTTTGCGCGCAACTGTTTTAGACTTGTTTTCTCCACCTGAATTTAAAGCATAGTTTCCATTTGACAATTTTTTCAGACCTCCGTTATCAACGTCCCTCCCGATCGCAATCAGAAGTTGATTTTTTGTCAGCCGACTTTCCGTTTCAGCCAAGAGCCATTTTTCAATGTCTTTCGCTGACGCACCGACGTCTTCGCTCCCCAGTTCCAGTAAAGCTTTGATCGCCGTTCGAATGTTTTTGTTTGTACTGTTGGAATTAAGGAGTTTTCTTCCGAAGGGTTTCTTCTTCCATTTTGTTGCATTCCTATAACTTACATTGCTTTTATAATCTACTTTAACTACAATACCTAAGTCGACGAGCTTCTCCAACTGAACTTCCGTATCCAAGTGTTTAGTACCATATCTGCGCAAGGCCATGTGGCAGATCCTATTCAAATCTGGCCGTGCTTTACGCATTCGCAGCTGATCAATTATTTGCAAAATTGTGTCCCGGTCTTTTACAGACGTCATGGTATCTTCTGATTCCTTTTCCGTCGATGTATTGGCGTTTGTATCGATGTTTTGAAAGTGATCGGTGTCTTTCTTCGCCTGAACTTCCATCGTGCGCATGCGTATAAATAAAAGCACACAGAATTATGGGATACCATGAGGCCCAAAATGGGAGTCTTAAAAATACGTGCATTAGACCCATTGGCATTTTGTAGCAGACATTCACACTAAATCCAGCCATATGAAGAAATAAATGTTGAAAAATTCATCCATATTTATAGCATAAATAATACGAAAGAAACGATTAGTGAATAATTTATAAATTTAATTTATTAACGAAATAACTGCGAATTTATTCATAAACTAATTTTGATGATTTTCCTTAGTCTACCCTGTAGTTTTACACTGTGAAGTAGGCGTGGCCTATTTCTAAATTGAAAGTATATATACTGAAAAGGTGTGTATGGCTGGTATATTTTAGCCTATATGACCCGTAAAGATTAAACTGGATATATATATCTAGTGTAATTCTGTGTTAAATCCATATCAAAGTTTATCTCACTCAGGAACGATACTGTTTAAACGAGCATGCACAATGATCCCCTTGCGTTCTCCAATATTGTATAAGGCCTACTACTGCGACAAATATACATATCTATCCAAGCGCGATCGACATATCTTTACTCGGCGGATTGGTCCAGTCTTGATCACTAGGCCCAACACGTACATCAGGGCTGTGTTACGTTATAGTATAACGATATATAGCTACCAATAACACATTCTTGGACAGACGTGGCGTTTTAAATAACCTTCACATATCGCGTCGACTTTATATATGGATCCTATATATATACGTGTACAACACCAGAATATATATGTGCGTCTCAATGTCTATGCACCAGCTCATGTCCAGGGGAACGTGACACACACACATCGTCCACGTGAGACATTAAATCAAGCACACAAACACGGAACTAGATATTAATCTAACCACGGAATAAGATTATCTAAGTCCGTGATCTAACATATATGTGATATAACTAACGCATTCCAGAAAACGCCATACTACTCGATCAAGTTTCGGACGATCAGAAGAAAAGATATTGGATCGATTAATTATCCACTCCTTCACGCCCAGAGCTGGACGCACTTTAATTATTACTGCATGCCATTCCAGAATGTGATACTATAGTATCTAGTTCCATCAAAGAAAAGAAACATGCTATCATGCACTCCGGTACGTACGGTGGTACATTTAGGACATTATCTCGAGCGCTCGACATTACTTCAGCTTCTTGAGCGCTCGACATAACGTCACGAGCGCTCGACTTAGTATCTCATCTACATTGTACATAACAAGTTAGAATTGTTCGCACGAATAAGAACACTGCAAACAGGTGCATAATACATTCCGAAACTACTTTAAACTTCACATATTAATATTCTAAAAATCCATATGATGGTTATATCATTTTCATATGTAATGCAAATGTGTGTTTTAATGAAATAATTGAAATTTAGCCTGGCGTCTTGAGGAAACATAATAAGGTCTTTGCATAAAATGTTGACGTCATAGTACAACGACGTCATACTAGAACGTTTGAAAGCCACACAATATTCTTGACCTGACAGAAAATCTACTATCACTATTCCAATACAATACTATCATGAAGCGATTCATACGTAAGTTCTAAGTAAAGCGCCCGAAATAATAAGTCGAGCGCTCGAGATAATAAGTCGAGCACTCGATATAATAGGTCGAGCGCTCGAGATAATTAATGTAGAAAATAAAATTGCGCTTGTCCTAAATGTACCACCGTAGGTACGTATATATAGACGTATATATATATTTAGGAGAAAATAAGTATCGCGTCCGCTTACAAACACCTTAATACAGGGCACTTGTTAGTTGCGCCAACAACCAAACATATTGATACAAACCGCTTACAAACAACTTCCGTTCGGGACGCTTATACATAAAGAGCAAAGAAAAGAAGCATTGCGCCCGCGAACTAATATATATGTTGAGGTGAAAAACACGTACGTACATTGCGTCCGCGTACAAACACCCTCAATACGGGACACTTCTAGCAAATAGACGACGCATTGCGTCAACGACCAAACACCTTCAATACGGGACACTTCTAGCAAAGAGATGACGCAATGCGTCAACGACCAAACACATTGAGGTGGAAACACGTACATCGCGTCCGTTTACAAACACCTTCAATACGGGACACTTCTAGCAAAGAGATGACACAATGCGTCAACGACCAAAAACATTGAGGTGGAAACACGTACATCGCGTCCGTTTACAAACACCTTCAATACGGGACACTTCTAACAAAGAGAAGACGCAATGAGTCTGCGACGAAACACATTGAGGTGGAAACGCGTACATCGCGTCCGTTTACAAACACTTTTAGTTAAGAGAAGACGCATTGCGTCCGCGTACTAACGCATTGAGGTGGAAACACGTACATCGCGGCCGTTAACAAACACCTTCAATACGGGACACTTCTAACAAAGAGAAGACGCATTGCGTGTTCGTACAAACACATGGAGGAAAAACACGTACATCGCGTACGTTAATAAACACCGTCAATACGGGACACTTCTAACAAAGAGAAGACGCATTGCGTCTGCGACGAAACATATTGAGGTGGAAACACGTACATCGCGTCCGTTAACAAACACCGTCATTACGGGACACTTCTAGCAAAAAGGAGACGCATTGAGTCCGCGTACTAGCATTTAACACGTATCGCGTCCACTTATAAAAACACCTTCAATACGGGACATTTGTCGCTTAGAAAAATACACATAGCGCCTGCGTACAAACACATTTAGGAGAAAACTCACATCTTGTCCATTTTCAAAAAAAATTGTCACACAAGACATTAAGTGTGTTCGTTCTTCCAACGCCGAAACAAAGCGAACAAAAAACAAACAAAAAATAGACGAGATACATTACATTACAGAGGTAACTCCAACAACACATTCAAGAGGTAATGTAAGACGTATCGCGTTCACTCCAACAACACATTCAGGAGGTAATGTAAGACGTATCGCGTTCACTCCAACAACACATTCAGGAGGTAATGTAAGACGTATCGCGTTCACTCCAACAACACATTCAGGAGGTAATGTAAGACGTATCGCGTTCACTCCAACAACACATTCAGGAGGTAATGTAAGACGTATCGCGTTCACTCCAACAACACATTCAGGAGGTAATGTAAGACGTATCGCGTTCACTCCAACAACACATTCAGGAGGTAATGTAAGACGTATCGCGTTCACTCCAACAACACATTCAGGAGGTAATGTAAGACGTATCGCGTTCACTCCAACAACACATTCAGGAGGTAATGTAAGACGTATCGCGTTCACTCCAACAACACATTCAGGAGGTAATGTAAGACGTATCGCGTTCACTCCAACAACACATTCAGGAGGTAATGTAAGACGTATCGCGTTCACTCCAACAACACATTCAGGAGGTAATGTAAGACGTATCGCGTTCACTCCAACAACACATTCAGGAGGTAATGTAAGACGTATCGCGTTCACTCCAACAACACATTCAGGAGGTAATGTAAGACGTATCGCGTTCACTCCAACAACACATTCAGGAGGTAATGTAAGACGTATCGCGTTCACTCCAACAACACATTCAGGAGGTAATGTAAGACGTATCGCGTTCACTCCAACAACACATTCAGGAGGTAATGTAAGACGTATCGCGTTCACTCCAACAACACATTCAGGAGGTAATGTAAGACGTATCGCGTTCACTCCAACAACACATTCAGGAGGTAATGTAAGACGTATCGCGTTCACTCCAACAACACATTCAGGAGGTAATGTAAGACGTATCGCGTTCACTCCAACAACACATTCAGGAGGTAATGTAAGACGTATCGCGTTCACTCCAACAACACATTCAGGAGGTAATGTAAGACGTATCGCGTTCACTCCAACAACACATTCAGGAGGTAATGTAAGACGTATCGCGTTCACTCCAACAACACATTCAGGAGGTAATGTAAGACGTATCGCGTTCACTCCAACAACACATTCAGGAGGTAATGTAAGACGTATCGCGTTCACTCCAACAACACATTCAGGAGGTAATGTAAGACGTATCGCGTTCACTCCAACAACACATTCAGGAGGTAATGTAAGACGTATCGCGTTCACTCCAACAACACATTCAGGAGGTAATGTAAGACGTATCGCGTTCACTCCAACAACACATTCAGGAGGTAATGTAAGACGTATCGCGTTCACTCCAACAACACATTCAGGAGGTAATGTAAGACGTATCGCGTTCACTCCAACAACACATTCAGGAGGTAATGTAAGACGTATCGCGTTCACTCCAACAACACATTCAGGAGGTAATGTAAGACGTATCGCGTTCACTCCAACAACACATTCAGGAGGTAATGTAAGACGTATCGCGTTCACTCCAACAACACATTCAGGAGGTAATGTAAGACGTATCGCGTTCACTCCAACAACACATTCAGGAGGTAATGTAAGACGTATCGCGTTCACTCCAACAACACATTCAGGAGGTAATGTAAGACGTATCGCGTTCACTCCAACAACACATTCAGGAGGTAATGTAAGACGTATCGCGTTCACTCCAACAACACATTCAGGAGGTAATGTAAGACGTATCGCGTTCACTCCAACAACACATTCAGGAGGTAATGTAAGACGTATCGCGTTCACTCCAACAACACATTCAGGAGGTAATGTAAGACGTATCGCGTTCACTCCAACAACACATTCAGGAGGTAATGTAAGACGTATCGCGTTCACTCCAACAACACATTCAGGAGGTAATGTAAGACGTATCGCGTTCACTCCAACAACACATTCAGGAGGTAATGTAAGACGTATCGCGTTCACTCCAACAACACATTCAAGAGGTAATGTAAGACGTATCGCGTTCACCCCAACAACACATTCAAGAGGTAATGTAAGACGTATCGCGTTCGAATACATAGGCATAACTGAATGAGACACATCATATCCAGAAGGAAATGTATCGTCAGTCATATCAACTGATTCCGGTGTGGAATACAACGTGTCCATAGCAGTCCTGTAGTGAACGTACCACATCCACAACACTAACTTATTTCAGCATGCACCTTTCACCTAGACGGCTGGGGTTCGGATCCCCGATAGGACGTGAACATGTATTTGGTCACCTGTCCGATTAGTGGATTTTCTCCGGGTAATACTCCGATTTCCTCCCACATTAAGACCCTCTACGTGATTCCATCCGGGATAACAACAGCGATGTATATTATTTGGAAAAAGTTGTTTCATAATTGTTGTAAAATGAAAAAAACGCAACTCGTACCTTAAGTAAAAACAACTAAATCCGAAGTGAGACTCATCACGTGCATTTCCTCAACTTATTCATGTAGTGAAACACATCGCGTGCGTATCTATCGTATGCATTCAGTGCAACACATCGCGTACCTATCCTCAACTTATTCCACGGAAATATTCTCGGAGTGAAACGCATAGCTGTGCATATCAACTTATTCCCGTAGTGAAAAAACTGAAAATGAAACCTATCACAAACCTATCTTCAGCTTAATTTCGTAGTGAAACATTGCGTACATAAATTATGGCCAACCTATTCCTTTGAAACACACTGCGTACCTATCAACTTATTACCTTAGTACAACAAATCGCAAACCTATCAGCAGCTTATTTTCATATTGAAACATTACATACCTTTCAACAACTTATTCTCATAGTGAAACACATTGCGTACATATCACCAACTTATTCCATCAACTTCTCATAGTGAAACACATAGCGTGCATATCAACTTATTCCTGTTGTATATCTTAACATTTTCTTCATGTTGGTAAGTATGGATTGTTGGTAAGTATGGATTGTTGGTAAGTATGGATTGTTGGTAAGTATGGATTGTTGGTAAGTATGGATTGTTGGTAAGTATGGATTGTTGGTAAGTATGGATTGTTGGTAAGTATGGATTGTTGGTAAGTATGGATTGTTGGTAAGTATGGATTGTTGGTAAGTATGGATTGTTGGTAAGTATGGATTGTTGGTAAGTATGGATTGTTGGTAAGTATGGATTGTTGGTAAGTATGGATTGTTGGTAAGTATGGATTGTTGGTAAGTATGGATTGTTGGTAAGTATGGATTGTTGGTAAGTATGGATTGTTGGTAAGTATGGATTGTTGGTAAGTATGGATTGTTGGTAAGTATGGATTGTTGGTAAGTATGGATTGTTGGTAAGTATGGATTGTTGGTAAGTATGGATTGTGAACAGATTCATGTAGCACATCCAAAAACTGTTTATATATGACGTTTCGATGCCTAGTACCGTATGTACGCTGTCACCTTCCACAGACAAATGACCAGTGAAGCGTACGCGTTGTCCATAAATTGAATGTTGTTATATATGTACCGAAATGACTCGATTCAGCCACGCTTTGTTTAACACTTGGTCATAGATGTGCGAGAGTCTATGAGCCCCCTCATCTCAATTTTGAACTGGCCCACTTGATTGTCCTTTTCTTGTTCTTTCCATTTGAAACTGTTTTTTGTACGCGTTTAAGGGCCCATTCCGGATATACACAGGTTTTCATTTCCCTAACTGATGTGACCCTGCTCTTGTGTTTTGTCCTGTTAATCTGTGACAATTGAATCACATCTGTTGAGCAATGTGCCTACGACGCCTAACCTCTGGTGCAAAAGATGGTGAGGTATTTTATGTTCATATATTGGTCCGTATGGGTCTTTTTATTCTATATACCTTCACGGTTCCATCTTCTTTCTTTACCAGTAGAGTGACTAGAAAGGTTGGTTTCTTCCTCCCCTGTAAATTTGATGTTCAATTTCAATTTCAACAAATTTTATTGACAATATAAGCAATAGTCAATAGGATCAGACATCAGGCATAGCCTATCTAAGTCCTCTCCTTAAAGTGACAACAGGTGGTAAGAAACACAGACATATATTTGTACATTGATATGATGTTTGGGATAAGGGGAAGTAACTCCTTGATGTAAACAGACTTGTTCAGTATTCTTGAGATATAGTAACCCTTTCACTAGGGATATTTAATTTGAGATATTTACTAGACTATTATCTTCAGTGAATAGTATCAAGTATTAGACAATGAGTTACTGGTATTCATATAAGGTAAACTGTTGAGTATAAATATTTGGTGATATTGGATTTATTCCCTCAACAGATACAGGCCATACAGTCCATATGTATAACACACTAGCCATCACACACTGTTAAGGATCAAAAGCCAATTTCAGCAAATAGATATATAATTTGTAAGTAGGGCTACACCAACTCCTGTAAGTAATGTAGTAATTCTTTAATTAAATTGAAAGGAGTTACTCCATATCTTGATGTAAGCTTAAAGAAGAAGAAGAAAACACAAAACACAAAAAAACACAAAAAAACCCACAAAAATACACACACACAAAAAAGAAAGAAAAAAAAACCCCATCTAAGCTGCCCGGAGCCAATTTCATTCAATAGGTGTATATAACAGCTAAATTAGTAATTATCAAAGGTAGAATAAAATATCTAATTAATTCCATATTATATTACATTAGGTATATCTTGTACTACTATATCTATAAATTTGATGTTGTTAGTGGCATCGGATGTGGGTGGTCAAATCCTTCTGTGATCTCTTCTTGAGTATCTCAAGTATGTCGTCTTCATATCGTTACATAAGCTAGGCTTGCATTCTATGGGAGCAGTGGCTATATTGCTTCTTCCTCCAGATGTTCCATGAACAAATTGGCCACAATCGGAGACACTGGACTACCCATAGCAGTGCCGAAGCTTTGCTGATAGATGTTGTCTCGGAAACTGATATATGTTGTCGGCACAAATTCAAGCAAATTCATGATGTCCCGAATCTGGAGGTTTGTGTTCTTACGCCACAATCTGTCTAATTCTAAGCGGTTCCGAATGTTCCTAAGTGCGTCGTCAATGGGTGTGTTGGTAAAGACATCATGTGAAATTAATTTTTCGTCTCCCTGAATCATGATCGAAGACATAGTTTCCGCTAGATGTTTCGAGTTCTTGACATGGTGTTCCGATTTACCCATTAGCGGTGCAATACTTAATGTCTGCTGGTGATCTGGAAACATTGTAACTGATGGACCCAGTGTAGTCCATAATAGGCCTCGTGTGGTTTCCCTGTTATTGGATCTAGATTAAGATTTTCAGATTTTTATTTCTCTCGGACATACAAAATATGTAACAAGAGGTCAATATGTGTCATATTTATATATACATGGCGGATAACAAAGGCATAAAGGTTACCATGATAAACTAAATACGTATATTCAATATCTTTTCAAGTTTTTCTAGAAATTTGCTAACATTTAATCAAACTTTTACATTCCATATAGTAAATAGACCACGCATTTTAATAAGGCTAGGGAAAGAACAGTAGTAATTTGGAATACGTAGTAGTCTTATTTGTTTAACAGATACATGTTCGCACTTCAATAGATAATGATATTCATCACCAATTTCATTAAAACATAGATTACAAGTTCTGTTTTCTTTGGGTATTCCAATCCATCTTCCAGTTTCGATAGGTTAGTGCATATTTGAAGTTCTGAACTTAACAATAGTTTGTCTTTCTTTTGGCTTTAGTTTCACAAGGTAATTTTCACGTTCAAAGTTTGTCTAGGGTGTACAGTATTCCCGTAGTAAAAAACATCGAGTACATATCAACAACTAACATCTGTAGTGAAGCACAGCATCGCGTACTTATCAACATATTTTCTTATTGAGACACGTTCATCGCGTTCCTATCATCAGCTTATTCCTGCAGTGAAACATCATGTAGCTATCAACTTATTCCCGGAGTGAAACATCACGTAGCTTTCAACTTATTCCCGTATTGAAACATCACGTAGCTATCAACTTATTCCCGCAGTAAAACATCACGTAGCTATCAACTTATTCCCGCAGTGAAACATCACGTAGCTATCAACTTATTGCCACAATGAAACATCACGTAGCTATCAACTTATTCCTGCAGTGAAACATCACGTAGTCATCAACTTATTCCCGTAGTGAAACATCACGTAGCTATCAACTTATTCCCGCAGTGAAACATCATGTAGTTATCAACTTATTCCCGTAGTAAACATCACGTAGCTATCAACTTATTCCCGCAGTGAAACATCACGTAGCTATCAACTTATTGCCACAATGAAACATCACGTAGCTATCAACTTATTCCTGCAGTGAAACATCACGTAGTCATCAACTTATTCCCGTAGTGAAACATCACGTAGCTATCAACTTATTCCCGCAGTGAAACATCGCATTATTGCATCAATATCTCGTTATTGCATCAACTTATGCTCGTATTGAAACTTATTGCGTACCAATCATCAACATATTTCCTGTAATGAAAAACATCGCAAATCTTTCCTGAACTTATTTTCGTAGTGAAACGTCACGTACTTATCTATCTCAGATAAAGTTGTTCTGAAATGGAACATATATACCCATTATGATATTTATGCAAAGGAGTGCTTCCCCTTCAGGCAGTGGCGTTGAATCAAAACTAATTTTATATCCTGGATCACAGATTACTCGATATGTAGGTATAGCACTTAGATTTTCGCATCTTGATCAAACTAGTACATTGTATTTCTATGTCGCTTTTTTATCCTGTACCACACTTATGGTACTACACTAAGCGGTGTTTCACTTATTAAAAACAGTTGTTGGTTTTCTATTTCGCGATGTTTCACCTGAACCAAACTTCGGTTGTTGTATTTCCATTTCGCTATCCTAAAACTTGGCCTAACTTGTAGGTTTTCTATTTTCGCGGTGTTTTACCTTGGCCAATCTTGTTGGTTTTCTTTTTTGTGGTGTTTCACCTGTGTAACGGTTGTGTGGTCACCTATCCAGCCACTCACCACGCTCGACGTTGCCGAACAAGTGAGCAAGTCCCATCATCGTACTGCACCGCTGGATTTCCCCCTTTTAATTTCTAGAAGTCTCGTCCGGAGACT